CAACACTCACCTACATTCACTCTCACTCTTACATTTTACTCAGGCTCATTCACTCACTTCCTCCCCAAAAGTCCATCTTCAAGTTCTGGAAGTCTTCCACCTCACTGAAGGATGTGAGTACAGAATGAATTTATTTTATAAGATATTTTCTGTTATTTTATATTGCATTTTATTATTAGATATTGTATTACTTTCTTTTACTAAATGACAATCATGCGATGCGGTTGAACGCCCATCCACCTATAATTGTATGTGATCTTATGATATTATTTTATATTTAACTACTGGATAATACAATTTACGTTATTATGGTATATTTTGCCATAATATTTGTGTTATTCGCGTATATTATACGAAATACCCGTACCGTAAGTCATGCAATGCAGTCGAACACCCGCCTGAGTGTATAAAAAAATAGCTAAAATAACCCCTCAAATGAATTTTATCAGTACCATTCACTTCACTATAGTGTTGGCTACAAGATGCAATATAATTTATACTGATATAAAACAGGCACAAGATAATAAAAAATAATAAATTACCATTTAAGAATCAGTTTTTTGCTATTTTCTCAAAAACTGTTGGTCTTATGAGAAACCTTATAGTACTTAAACAGTTGACTCAGACAATTTTGACCAGGAGGTTGTGAGCGTATTGGTGTGTATTTTATCCTCATGTTTATTAGATGTGACGAAAAATAGCTATACGTGTATACAGTACTTGTATTATGATTGTTTTTGTTTTTTTGCTTATGTTGGAGAGTAATCAGTTATGAAGCCAAAGATATATGATTTATGCCATTAAAAACAAGTTTAGGGGGGAAATTGATAAAGCCAAAAAAAATATTCACTGCGCACTGTCTCACCTGCCCTGAAACCTCAGAGATGTGATCTTGGAACTGGAAAACTTAAAACTTATCTTGTGCACGAGAGGGTTAACATTCCAACACATCATAATATGTTAGCTACTTCATTTATTTATATTGTTTCCAGTCAATCACTCAAAATACTTGGAATTCTGATTTACTACATTTGAAATATTGTACCACAACATTTCAATTATCATGGCCTTGAGGAAAATAGCCAGGAACAATAATTACTGTGTCCAATCAGTTTACCTATGACTTGCCTGAAAAAATAATCATGATCATTGAGACACTGAACACTACATTACAGATCCTAACTTGACATCTTTCTACTGTAAACTAAAAACACCTTTTATATTATAGAATTTATGAATTTTTGTGTTTAAAAGTTTCAATATACAGGGGGTCACCGACTTATGAACGTCCAACTTACGAACGACTGCCAATACAAACGGGGTTAAACTTGAAATTTACGGTATAGTAGAACCTCGATAAATTCGACTAATTGGGGCAGACCCCAGTCCGAAAAATATGAATATATGAGCCAGGGGGAGGATGACACTGCTTATCTGAACTGTTTGAAGAAAATCAGTTGTTGTTATGTTATTACTGCACTTCAACAACTCAGGTCTTTAAGTGAATAACAAGGTTATTAAAAGAATGTTACATAAACAATACAAAAATATGAAACAACTCTCTGGGTTGAAAATCAGACACGTAAGTCTGGTTGTCAACAATTGTTGTCACCAAAGATGATTGTTATTTACTGTAAAGTGTTGCATGTAAGTAACCACAGAATTTGTCTTATGAATAAAGAGAAAACTGTATACTGTACAGTACAATAAAGATAAAAACAAGAACAAGTAAGTGTAGGAGTATATTGTATGTGGAAGACGAAAGTTAATCTGGGAGCAGCTGGCAGAGGGAAGGGGGGTAGCACAAGTGGGTTGCTCCCTCCCCCTCTCTCCCGCAATTCTCATATAACTTAGGATCATTTGGTGCGAGGTTGATAAAATAGTATCCCAAAAGAATCAACTTTCCTGAAAAAAGATCAGCTTACCACAATGTCTGTCTTCAACACTTAATAAATTAGTACAGTACAGTCGTGTATTTATCACCACTTAACAAATACTATTGTAGTGTATTTATCACCACTTAACAAATACTATTGTAGTGTATTTATCATCACTAAATAAGTAATATTGTAGTGTAAAGTATTAGGTATCTGCATATACCCTGGTTTGTTCATTAATCATTTGTCTAAGTGTACAAGTAGCCAAACTGAGCCATCATATAACACTCAAAGGGAGTAAATAACGTTTTACTTTATTTCATTTACCTAATGACTTATTTTTTACATTCAATTTCTGTATTTTGTCATTCTATTTCTTTTTTTGCCTTAAATCAAGTGATTTTAGATGTACAGTCGGCCCTTAACATACGCGAGGGTTACGTAACAGAGATACCTGTGGATGTTAAAAATCCGCGTATTTTTGCTGCCACCCCCCCCCCTAAAAAAAACCCTGGCCCCCCCATGTCCTTATTTACTGTATATACCTGTGTGTAGTTCGAGTTTTTAAGACCAAATTATTTAGCAAAAAATTGGGGGTCGACCTCTAAACGGGTAATAGTTTCGTTAGGTTGAAAAATATTTACCAGTAACTACCAGTAAACAATGGAAATGATGCACCAACGCACCACCAGCTGTGAGTGTCGGTACAGTTGCTAGGGCAGATCTCTTGCGCCATCATAGCAAGCCTAAAGTAGCCAAATCCATGGTATGGTAGCACAGGACGATGTAAAACATTAAGTATTCATTTATTAAAGTGTATTTATAGATACTGTACATAAATTTTTGTTCATTACATTTGAAACATCAATCTTTGTTAATTAAATTTGAAACAAAAGAAAACTACGATACCGTATTTTCATTAAAATATTACATCACAAGTATATTTTACCTTAACTGTGACTGAATGAATATATTCTTGGAAATAAATATGGAAATGTAATATTTTTGCTGGAATGACGTACATATTACAGTGGAAAGTGGGATAAAATCATGACGAAAACAATGACTTTCGCTTTCTTTCGTTGTTCAAAAGCTTTTACCGTAATCGCTTTTCGAATGGTTTTCAGTTAAAAAACTGTTGTACTCGTACTGTATTACAATAATATTCTATCCTATCATTAGCCTTATAATCCCACAACTGAAAACCATTCGAAAAGCGATTACAGTAACATCTTTTGAACGAAAGAAAGAGAAAGTCATTGCTTCCGTCACAATTTTATCCCACTTTCCACTGTAATACATACATCATTTCAGCAAAAATATTACATTTCCATGTTCTCAGAAATAAATGGTAGTTTTGTTTAAACGTAATGTACAGTATTTAATATTAAAATGCAAAAATAGCTATAAAAACAATTAATACACCCGTAATGTACTGGCTGGCATATCCACTCATCCCTGCTCCCGCCAGTCACCTCCTCCCCGCTCTATCCCTCCGCCTCCTCCACATCGTCACTACTGTTGTATTACAATAATATTCTATCCCAATTCACTTGAATAAATACTACGATACAATATTTCTGAATATTTTCATTAAAATCCATCAAAATCATTTTCCTTGTCATCGTCTTCAACACCAAACAGCTCCTCCCAGTCTTCTCCTTGAACAGGGCTAGAGGGTACGTGTTTTCGAATCATTTTCAGTTAAAAAAATGTTACATCACATGTATATTTTACCTAAACTGCGCCCGAATGAATATATTCTCAGAAATAAATAGTAGTTTTGCTAAAACGTGATGTATTTCAATGTAAAATAGGATAAAATACATGACGAAAACAAAAGACTTTACCTAACCTTCCTATGTTCAAGAGATGTTACTCATTTTTATAATAGTTTTCGGTTAAAATACTGTTATATTACAATGATATTCTATTCATACTGTGCTTGATATAATGCATTCACGGAAATGTAATATTTTTGCTGAAATGACTTACGTATTCCAGTGGAAGTGGGATAAAATCGTGACGAAAACAATGACTTGCTTTCTTTCGTTCAAAAGATGTTACCGTAATCGCTTTTCGGATGATTTTCAGTTAAAAAACTGTTGCATCACAAGTGAATTAGGATAGAATATTATTGTAATACAAAAGTTTTTTAACTGAAAACCATTCGAAAAGCGATTACGGTAACATCTTTTGAACGAAAGAAAGCGAAAGTCATTGCTTTCATCACTTTCCACTGTAATACGTACGTCATTTCAGCAAAAATATTACATTTCCATAATCTCAGAAATAAATACCGGTAGTAGTTTTGCTGAAACGTAATGTATTTCAATGTAAATTAGGATAAACTACATGAAAACAAAAGACTTTACCTAACCTTCCGATGTTCAAGATATGTTACTCGTTTTTTTAATAGTTTTCGGTTAAAATACTGTTATACTAGTGATATTCTATTCATACTGTGCTTGATATAATACATTCACGGAAATGTAATATTTTTGCAACTACAATGCTGATGTCAACACAAGCGTGGTTACAGCGAGACTGACTGAGTGAGGGAGAGCTATGCGTGTGTGTGTGTGTGAGGTTGCGGGAGCGGGCGGTGTCCTGTGTTCGGTGCCGCGCGCGGGTTGAATGGCGCGCAATTTGAATTTACTTCAATATACAGAATATTCCTCCGGCGGGGCAATCCGCGTATTTGCAAATCCGTGTATGCTAAACCCGCGTATGTTAAGGGCCGACTGTATATACAAAGGACTTACGCTATGATATAGTGGGATTTTAAACATTGTTCTGTAAGTATGGTATGCACATAGCATGTGTTCCAACTTACATACAAATCCGACTTAAGAACGTCCTCAAGAGTGGAACCCGTTCTAACCCGTGGACCCCCTGTATATGGGACTCCTGAACTTGCACTGATCAAACAAGGAATCCTCATTTGCACCACCATCATTACTATCACCTATATTCTAAATGCTTTACACATTCACCTTCAAAAACAGCCATTTCATTAATTCATCTCAAAACACAAATGGAATTCACAATACAGTACTGTACTCTTCAGACAAAAACAAACATAAAAAATGTAGATATAAGTAATATTCTACACATTCTCACCTGTATTCTACGACCCATCGTCATCTCCAAGTAGAACTCACGATACCACAACTGGGAGAGGTCACAGCAATACTGTAGGGTTTCTGTAGAATACATATTATCTCAACATTAGACATCATTTAATAAGAAAACATAATTTAAATTTTCTTAAACTCAGAGATTCTATATTTTTTTCTTTTTGTACACAGCAATTGGTCTTAGCTACCTATGGTAATACTACTGTGAAAGTGGTGAAAATCTTTTTTCTTGTTTTCATTTTCTTACGCTGGACTTCACATGACAGGCAACAAAGCAGTTTTCCATTCATTCTGACTTTACACTATGAATCAAAACTAAGTCTTTCCATTCTTTCATATTCTACTGTTTTTATTTCTCTCTTCCTCTTCCCCAACAACTCCTTTTCCCCATACATACACTTTATCAGGTATCCCAAATTTGTATATATATCTGTATACAAGAAATGCTTCTTTTGTGTATTAACAAAACAAATGTAGGGTATACAGTTATTCAGCTCAGATGTCTGGAGCACTGTTGTTGGGTCTTCAAAACCTAAAAAAATTAATGTTTTGTAACCAGTGTAAAATGTAACATTCAAAATATATGGAGGTGGAGGGTAACTTCACACATAAAAGCTCAAAAACTCCCCACAATAGTAGTAGCAGAGGCAACTCATTGAGCATGGTAGTGCTGCAGTCACTCACTGCACAGCACTAAAAGTGAAGCAGCCAAGATATAACATGTACTGATCCAAAGAACATCTAAGGGACAATTCACCTAGTGTCTGCATATTCACATCAGTCTGTTAAAATATTTTGATTAACCTACCAACTAAGAGCCCTTTAGCAAACAACTTCCACTAATAATGGCTAGTGACTTGATAATGCATAAAGCCACATTGTAAGAAGCATTTTTTAACACTCAGATTTAACATATTAGTATTCATATTAAGTGAGTATTTAATCTTTTAAAATGCAACATTTGTAGAACTATACAAAAGATAATAAGGCTATACAAGGAAGACATAAACTTTAAGCTTCTTACCGCTGAAATTTATCAGGTATGTCCAGAAAAATGACGTCTTATGAAATTCATCAATCTGGCATAGATGTTGGCCATCAAGCTCCTTCCTCAATGTTTTCTTCCCACCAGACTTGTCAGAGATGAGAGATTCTAGCATTGTTCGCACCATATATAGTTGGGTAGAAGAAGGACCTGTAAAATAAATAATATTTAAAGATAATAGATAAAAGTTCACATAAACAAACCTTATCACATTTCATTATACAGTAATATGTCATTTTACCATACTAATTTATTGCCCTGTGAAATAAAGGTTTTGCTACTCCCCTCCACTCCATAGTCCCATTAAATTCCAAGCCCAACCAAGAGAAAAAACCAGGGTCCCTGCATAGAGGCATTTGTTCCCCTAGCCAAACCTAACTCTTGAATGCCAAAGTTTCATCAGACAAATTTCATATTTTAATCTTTATTAATCAAATGCCATAAATGAATCTCCAGTTCAGACAGCATCCATATCTAAACAAGAAAACTCTATTCATAATGCACAAAACAGCATAAACTATTGCATCTCTAAACCATCACTGACATGGAAGCATGAACCACTTATCACAATCTGGTTGAGACCACAATCTTTCATCTGACCAAGTCCCTGATTTCACAATAATCAACTGTATGATTGAATTTGTTTACTGTATACCTAAACTATGTTATTCATGTACTTTCATCAGAATAAACAGATCTTGAAAAAATAAAGTTCTGAGCATAAATCAACAAATAAAACATTGTAACTCGACAGAAACAATACAAAGTAGAAGGATATTGTAAGGGCTGTAACGAGCGGGATGGTTGTCCGCCACCCGTTTGCTTGTTCGCGGCCCCACTAGGGGAGATAGATGGAGGTGAGAAGGTCGCTGCTGCCTCGTTGCACACCAGACACTATCCAGCCTTGACCACAGCTGCACTTCCCCCGTTGTTCGATTCCAACTCTGGTTGTGTACTCAACTGAGGTTCCTGGGGATCATAGGCTGATTCCCCAGTCCTTCACTATTCGGCTGTCAACTCTGGTCACCTACTCCAGCTACTGCCGCAGCTGCCACGTGTTCGCCACTTCCTCCACGCCCTATCCACCATTTGTGCCCTGGCTTCTCTCCTGTGTGGCAAGACATCGCCCACCAACGCCAGCGTCAAGCAAGGCTGGTAGTACGGTACGGAATATTTTTCCATACCCCGTACCTGGCTAAAATACCGTACCGTAATTTCGCACAGTACCATACGGAAAAAATACCGTACCGTAATTCCGTACTTTTATCGTACCGTCAGCAAAATATATTTACATGAAAATAATTCCCTATTTGTGAACAATTTATTAGAGTACATGTGTGGATTTGAAAAGGAACATTTACGAAGTGACTATAGATGCAAATGTGCCCACATAATATTGTTGCCTTATTATGGAATTTTATTTCTTAGTCTACCTAATTTACAATGAAGCAAAAATATGTGTCATCTTACCAATAACGTGCAATATTAGATAAAGTGCCCCTGTCTGCCTCGGATGACTGCTCCCTCCTGACGGCAATGGAAGGAGTGACTGTGGAGTGTGGAGAGTTGGAGACACTACTCTCAACTCTCAAGTTATACGTGAATAGTTCGCGTGACGCAACGTGATCAGTACTGACAGTACCAGACTACCAGCTGGCGGACGGTACTGATCACGTAAATGCACTCACAGAAGCCACCAACGCATTAACCCTTTGAAGATCGATGACACATTTCTTTTCTCTTTTCTGACTATTATTAGATGATTTTATTCAATTTAGGAAGGGTATATGAAAGACAATAGACAGATGGCTAATTCAGCTAGTCTATACTGTTTATTACCATAAATCCTTCCTAAGCTGCATAAAAGTGTGTAATGATAGCCAGAATAAACTGTCAAAATGCGTCACAATCCCAAGGGATTAATAATTGCATGATCATGTTTTTAAGCCTTGGGTACGGTACGGTACGATACGGTACCGAATTTTGCTCATTTTTCAGTACCTGTACCTAAATCGTACTGTACCGTACCGTACTTCAAGGAAAATATCGTACCGTAATTCCGTACCGTACATTCTGACTAAATATCAACCGTACCGTACCGTAATGCCAGCCTTGGCGCCAAGTGAGAAAGCTGCCCTGGACCTTCCCCCTGAGAGCGGATCACCGCGTTACCAGAACATTCCATCATGCTGGTTAGAAGGAAGATTCGTCTACAGCCGTAGGAAATACCTGTTCTTTGTTGTATTGATTGTTTTGTTTAAAGTAATTGTTTGACTCCAGTGCTGTTTATTCAATATTTGAGTGAGTGGTGTCAGGGTTAAATTATTGTGATCATTTTAGTAGTAAAGAGATGGTTCTTGACTTTCCTTTTTAAAAGATCCTGATTAGGCTGGCAAGGGATTAATATCCCAAAGGCCAGGCCTTTACAGATATACTCCCTGATCCACTCCTTTGTAATGCGAGCATACTGACCATTACACACAGGTCACCTCAATGTATATACACATGTTAGCACGAAACATACAAGTACAGCTAGACCCCGACTTACGACTGCTTCGACTTACGACCGTCGGGACTTATGACCGCCGCAGTTGTGACCATTTTTTTTTTTTTTTTTTCTTCAAATGACGCACGCATTTTCTATACCAAAACGTTTCCAGTTAATGTAGTCTCCATGTATAATTAGAAAATTATGGAGGCCCCATGTGCATTCAGCTGATTACATTAAAGGTAAGTGCTCAGTCACACTGTATCCATTCCTCATTATTTATTACTTTCACTGTACTTATCCATTCCTCATTATTTATTACTTTTACTGTACTTTATTTCATTGTAGATTTTTTTTTTATCTATGTCGGACTTACGACCGTTCGGACTTACGACCTGGATTTGGGTCCCTAACCCCGTCGTAAGTCGGGGTCTAGCTGTACAAATGCATACAAAATATTGAAGATTTATAGTGTGTCCTTTAGTACAAAGCATTAAACATGATTCAGGAACTCACCAACATTTCTTCTCTGGACCTTAATCTCAAAACCATTGTCTGGATCCTTCTTGCCCTTCAGAGCTGGGTCTTCAGGAGGCTCCATTCCTTTACTCCAGTCAGCACTTGTCTCTCTCACTGAGACAAGGATGCTGTTGAAAGTAAAAATAAATTTCAGTAATTCTAATTATAATAAAAATTTTAAGTACCTCAATGAAAACTCCAGGGAAAAAAAATAAATATTTCCTTTATATCAACAACCTCAGAATAAGTTTTTTTTCAGTAGATTAAACATACGTTCTCAGCAGTTCTTTCTTGTTTTTGATAGCTTTACGAAGAGGATCTCTGAGAGTGAGCTGCACAAAGTCTTGTAACTCTTGGTAAATGTTGCGTCGAATAGAGTCAAGAAAAACAGTCTCCATGCGAGCCATCAACACCTGTAGTCCCTTGATCATGGCGATGACTTCAATCAATGCAAACTTTTCTTCATCTGTATAATTGTAACGTGTGGCCTGGAAACACATTATTACATTAATATTTGTTTTTAAACAAAGGCAATTCTGCATCATTTTTACCAGCATATTTCTGGCAAGATATGAAATGTAGTCAATTAAAATTAAATACAGTATGTACAAAGAAAGACAAAACTTGTGTCGTGAAATTTGGTGAAAAGATATGCCGAAGGGCTAAGCTTTTGGTAAGTGGGCTCTCATAATGTTAAATGAGTTATACTGTATTTAATCTTCGGACAAAGCCGCGACACAACTTTTGTCCTTGATTGTACATTTAGTATATGTATACACAATCTATGAGCAAAAAGTGCTGTTTATTTGTTAACCATGCAAAGAAACAAACTGGATACAGTACCTAATGATGTTGCCTAGTTACTACATATATATTAAGGCACACCCAATGCCTCCAATATCTTAACTAAAGTTAAAGGAAATAATTGTAGAACCAGCTGTGCAACACACAAAAATACTCATCGTACCCAATGAATTAATACTGTAGGATTCCATCATGAAGTCAGGTGTGCTGTAGAGTTGAAGGACATACAGAGAGTGGCAGTAGTGGAACATACAGTACAAAGACAATCTACTATTTTTTCACATACAAAATTTTGGGAACCTATGCTGACCACTCACACACACATGTGCACAGCTCAATGTAATAGCTGAAGCCATTCCAAAATAAGATGATTCTGAATCAGATGAAATTTTGCAAATATTTCCAATACATCAAAATACAGTAGAACCTCACTACATAAGAGTAACTGGAGAAAAAGCCAGTCCCATAAAGCCATTTTTCCAATAGACCCGATACTAGAACTTTTACTGGAGATATCAAATTAAATCCAAAATGTCAGAAGCTCATCTGAAACTAACTGATGCCAGACCTACACTGGACATAGATCTTGACTCAAGGTAATAGAAGTTCTAGTTACTGTTGCCTTTACTGTTACTACTGTTGTGTTACAAACAGTTGGATCAATTAACTTTCAAAGTTAACTATTGAACACTCACTCATCTCTCAATTTACATATGGGAAGCATTCTTAAAAAAGTACAGTATTTGCAAACAGAAATTTTTAAAATAAAAATTGACTTACCAATAGATTTTTATTACATAATAGAAGACACACTGGCCAAAAAAATATCTCCCCCAGAAGTAATAATTGACAATGAAGACAATTTATTTGTTTTTATTATTACAGTAAAGTCCAAAAATCCGGATGCCAGAAATCCGGACCACCCGAGAATCCGGACCTTTCAAATTTTTTTTTTTTTTAGCGGGCTTTTGTGTGTATGTGCGCATGCGTGACTTCAACAGCTGCACAGTGACAACAAGTGACCATGCGGTCGCCACTTTAAAACGAGCAATCAAACTGTGACAACGTATGTAATTTTGAGTCCTACTCTTTCCATTTACAGAGTACTGTACAGGCCCATAATAATGGCTCCTAAAGTAGATAAATTTCATTGTGTGAAGAGAAAGAAGAACACGTTGAAATTGAGTGACAAATTTGAAATAATTAAGAAACTAGAACGTGGTGTGAGCAATACTGTTCTAATGGAAACATACGACATTGGAAAGTCTACAATTTATGATATAAAAAAGGCAAAGAATAAAATTCTAGAATTCACAGCTTTTTCCTTAAAACTGCTCGTTTTGATAAATGAAGCATGCTATATTTGCTAATGAATAAACTATCAAAATGAACCTGTTCATCTCTTCTTTATTCCTCCTTAAATTTCAATTTTAAAAGTACTGCCTGAGAATCAGGAAAATCCGGACCGACCCAATCCCCAAGCAGTCCGGATTTTTGGACTTCCACTGTATTATTTTTTTTTTTGGGGGGGGGGGGAATAATCACACAGTAAGTACAGGGGTATATTCTAAATAATAATACAAATATTGTACATTATTAGTTTTTTATACTGTAAAATGTGCTCCAAGAAAATATTAGTGCATTTAACAATTTAATATTTACATAAGTTCAGTGTGTTGTTTGGTTTGATTCTGTAAGCATTGTCAGCTGTGCTTGTTACCTGGTCACCTTGGTTGCTTTACTAACATCCACACTGGCAGACTGTTTTCCCAGACATGATGGGCCTAAAATTTTCACTTAACACACAAACAAGATTGTGAAAAAGGAGAGAGTACAGAGACAGAACCTATGCAAGTTTTGGTGGGGAATACACGTTAATTATGCAAATGCCGATTCAGTGAAAGCATGCAAACAAAAATAGATGTGGACATGTTCGTTGGTTCTTTTATGTTTACAGTGGTCCCTCGGTTAACGAGCACAATCCGTTCTAGAAGGTTGCTCGTTAACCGAAAAACTCGTTTACCGAAACCATTGTTTCAATGGGTTTTTGGGTAATTGGTTCCAGCTCACCAAAAATTGCCTAAATTCAACAAAAAAGGGAGAAAAGTACACTTACTTTGAGGTGTGTATGTAGAAGGCTCCTGGATGATGATGATGATGGGAATTAGAATGGGGGTGGAGGAGAAGGGAGAAGAGAAGGCATTGGGGTGGAAGAGAAGTCACCCCATGGCGCCATTTCACCCATAAAATTTTAGTTCTCTTGGTGTAATTCAAGATTATTTTCTTTAAATCAACACTGCACTGCATTATATATTGTCAATACAGTATGTAAAATAAATTTCAAAATGACCAATAATTTGCTTGGAAACACAGAAAAAAAGCGTTTAATTGAAGAGAGTCTCAAGCAAGATGTTACCTCCACTGAAAAGACACAAAGACTGACGCCTGTATGCTGTGTTGGCAGGCTGGATGGCGTGCCACAAACTAGTGACCCTACCTTCAATTATGTTCAATAATTGTTAAAATGACTAAAAAATATAATATTAAACTTTTAAAATTATTGAATAGTATAAACTTCTTGATATTTAGTAAAAGGGTAAGGAATTTAAGCCTTAGAACCGATTACTGTATTGGCGGACTAATACTACAGCTGGTGGACCGCCAAATGCAAGCTAAAACATGTGGAGGCCGGCTCATAAGAAACTCGTTAATCGAGGGATTGCTCGTTAACCGAAATTAAGAATCTTATGGAAAGTAACTCGTGAACCGAAATCTCGTTAACCGAGGCGCTCGTTAACCGAGGGACCACTGTACTGTATTTTTTTCCTTGAAGTTGTTTTTTAAGATACATACTGTACTATTATATATATGAATTAATATTTTTCATGCCCATTAGGCAAGGAATTTTAGATGAGGTTCCATTATAATTGGTCACCCAGTGTAGGGTAAAAATAGATGACAAAATGAAAAACAGAAAAACCGCTTGTGCTCACATGGCACAGGAGACAACAAGGAGCATCCGTATGCTATTAAGTTACCTGAAATTTGTGGTTTGATTTGACCAATATTAATTTAAAAAGCTCTAACAAAATGCATATTTTTATTAATACAAATAAATTTAAAAAAAATAATCAAGGTATGTACAGTATTGGGCTACTTATTCAATCAGATAATAATCATTTATGAACTCTATACTTCTGACAAATGATTCCTGCATCAGAAGCAGCTGGCATGTAAACAATCCATTTAATTCCCTTCTCAGGAACTCTCAACTTCTAAATGAACTACAGTATATTTCAAGTCTATTTTATCTTAATAATATTTTCTTTATTTTGTTATTTAATGAGCAAAACAACATTTAACAGAGTTTGTGTGAGTGACATAGTATGTGGAAGCAAAACCTAATATAGTCTCCTGGTAAGCCTAGGGTAGCATAGATAACCCAGGACCCAGGAAACTGGAAAATCCCCAAAAGTGGTTTGGTCTTGGTCCCAAAGGTCCCATATTTAAGGGCCTAAGCTTGTAATTAAAGATGAACTATGAAATTTTACTACCCATAATTCGGTTACTTACACTTTCACACAACATATCATGCACTGTCATGATATGTCAGTCTTTAAATCATGAGGAACTTACTCTCTCATACTCCTCAGCATCAACTGGACAATGATTGTTAGAGTGGTGATCAGTTGGATGCAGTAGTTTCCAGGAGTACAGCTCGGTGACAACACTCGTCCATTCACTGAGAAGCTGTAGACCACGGAGGGCTAGATCTGCTATATCTTTGTTTTCTGCATCAGTTCTGGCAGTTTCTTTGTAGGTAGTAATAACCTGGCAAAAATGTTAACTTATTAACAAAAGATAAAAATTTTAATTTTCATTGCTGAAAAACAACAAAACTTTTATGTCACTTTCCTTTAAGTCTATTACATGAGGTGCCTTTGACCTCTTTATCTATCTCCATATACTTTTGATGTCTCCTTCCCTCTATGAACTCCCTAAACTTGAGGACCCTCAAAATAAGAATTTTAAACTCTATTCCAGCCAACACAGCGCTTCAAAAGGTAAGCACCCACCACAACTTTCAAATCATAACTCTTTTAAACTATTTCTAAGAAAATTAGATTTTTAATAGGTTTTTTTCTTATTTTTCCTATGCAAGACAGATATGATCCACCCCTCCCCCTCCCCCAGGTAAAAAAGCTAATGGATATAATTCAACTTAAATACATTTTAAACAATACAGTATAACAAATGAAATGTAAATCCACATAAAACATAACTCACTCTCTCTAAACATTTATAGTGTTAATAAAAGAAGGGCATAAGACTGAGCCACATACAGGTGCTCCTCTACTTACAAACAAGTTATGTTTCTAAGGCTTGTTTTTAAGTCCATTTGTTTGTAAGTCCAACTTTACTCTGGTAGACACCAAACATATTGTAAAAAATTAATATATAAAGGATGCAGCACAGGTATATCATACAGACTAGCCATAAAACCTGGCATGTTCTTCTCCTCTTTGGCAATAAATGTTCCATCAGGCATTTTCTTCCAATATAACCCAGTCTCGCTCACATTAAACACCGGCACTAGCAGGTAGGCCCCCAACCATGAAAATCGTAGCTTTGAAAGTTCATAAGTTTAATATTCATAAGTACAGGAGAACCCGTACAGTATACTAATTATTCAACATACCTCATTACTATATCTAGCAAGATCAGAGATATATTTGATATGTTCCTCACGGATGCGAGGTAAATGACACATCAGGTCAGCCTGGGGACTGATGGATGAAGCACTACACATCGGCCACATCTTTGAATCAAAGTTTTTGCTTCTCTTGATATAATTGAAGGGGGCAATCTGCATATCTCCAAATAATGGCACAACTTCTAAATTCTGTGGAAAAATAAGATATATAAATGCTAACAAAATATTAATATTAAACTGTGATTTAGTGACTATATAAATCATTTACATTCATAAAAGACACTGACAATAATTACTGAGACGTAGGAATATGATCTACAGAATCTTCTGAAAAAGTGAGAACATTTACGCCCGTATTATTAAGCAACATCTTCCCTTGAAGAGGGTTGTCATGTTTCAACCGAGTTTTAAACTAAATAATTTATAATATTATAAATTAATTTATAATATTGGAAATTAGTTAATTTTACCGCCACACCACCCAGTTAAGCACTGTACTGCGGTGTCCCTCACGAGTCATTTAGTTTAAAACAACACGACAACCCTCATCAAGGGAAGATGTTGTTTAATAATACGGGCATCAATCTCACCACCTCAGACACTTCTGTAAACAGTGACAAAAAAATACTTTGTGAATTCTAGGATGAGACAACATAAATAATTTTAAATGACAATCATAAATGAAAAAAGTGATGCATAACATTTCATAAAGGTGTGGGAGCAAATACAGTCATAAACACATCTAAATAGCAGAAATTAATTTTCCAATATCCACTATTTCAAACTCCTTCTAAAAACCATTACCTTATACTTCCTAGCATAGACATTCAATTTCCTTCTATCACATCACATAGCCAGCCAAAGTTGAACAGTGTAAGGTTGTGGGACACTGTATATACTGTACTTCCCAGCCCTCATAATGGAAAGATGAATTATCAATCACATACTTGAGCTTATTTATGTTTAGTTTTGCCTCTTAATGTATAATTGATGTTATATATGAAGAGTAATACCATATACCCTGTACAGTATAAGAAGTAAAATCTGTAGCAATGACTGGTCTCAGTAGTACCTGAACCCTAACATTTATTTGCCCATAACAATATACAGTATATATATAAATATTTGAGGGTTTACTGTACCTTAAATATTTTGTCAATTTTATCCAGTTTTATCTTCTTCTTCTGGTCAAGCTTGTTGATGTTACAGATTTCTGAATCAATGAGGAAAAGACCAAAACCCATCACCTTGACCAGCATCTGTTTCTCCTTGGGAGTCAGGTACATGCGGTTCTCAAACATGTGAACTGAGATATTCACGACATCACCTGGAAAAAATATAGGAGTAGTGTATACATATGGTATAATGGGCAGCAATCTCAATCATAGAATAGAAAGGTGACAGAAATCAAGTACTCCTCATTCTCTGTAAAGGTAACTGTAACACTGTTAACGCTTCATTTTCACAGTTTTATATCTTCATGGAGGTATGTGACAGTCAATCCACCACATAATTATAGTTTTTCAGGAAATGCTTCAAGTGTTCCTGATAACCCTGGGGATAAACCTCAAAGCTAATTAATGTAATAATACATAAGTCACTAATCCAATGTTTTAGTTACAAAAAACACTATTCATGGTAGAGTAGACTCTAAGGAATGACATGTACAATATCACTAATAAAAACAACCGAAAGTTCTCATCACCTAACTTTCAAATCCTCAGAATAGATTTCAACACATTCAATACCAAACCTTTAGACTTGCTGACAATAGAGTTGCTAAATCCTGACATAGGTTATAAAAATACCTTAAGAAGTACTGTATCATAATCATATGTAATGCAATTCACCATTAAATAATATTCTGCCTTTATCTAAACAATTAATCTGTTGAACAGTTAAATACTACATCAAAACTGATTCATAAATAACCCAGATATCCTTATACTCTGTTCACACTTTTCCCCTGAATGCCAGTGTGTTTAATGTTCTGACATGACGCTACCACCTCTTTATAAATTGGCCTTTTACAGATTCTCCTCAGAGCGAGATACAGTATTTCATAGAATACAAAAATTTCAACCAAGCAATCTCAAAGAAAAATATCTCCAGGACACAAATTAAAAAATCAGATCTAGGCAAAGCTAGTTTCATATCATCATAATAAAAGGATATACAGACAGTCTACATAATAAAAGGATATACAGACAGTCTCCAGGTTATGAATTTCCGACTGTATGGATACTCTCCCACAAGTCCGACCATATACTGTACATACTTGAGTACAGCTTGAGTTTTTATGATAAAATTTTTATGCAAAAAGCATGGGTCAAAAGATAAACGTAGAGTATTTTTTAAGAGGTTAAAATTTATGCAATTCCGTTGGTCATTTTACAGTGAATGGCGCCTACCCGGTACATGCTCATGGTAGGCTAACCTTACCAGTAAGTTCCTTTATCCTGGGTTTGTCTACCATACACCGAGATACTTACTTTATGTTGCTACATAACAGAATCTCATTCACTATATATGGCACTTTAAATCTACAAATACACCTTAGAGAGTACTTAAGAAATAGCTAATATACTTACAGAGAAGATCTTCATATGATGGAATTGCAGTGAGCTTCTCCTTGAGAGTATCTCTTATTTTGTTCTGAGTGGCGAGGAACATAGAGAGATTCTGTGACTCCTGGAGAGACTGGGTATCACTCATCACTTTCAGGAACTGAGCAGCTCTAATGGGATTATAAAAAGCTTAACAGCACAGAACAATGAATTTTGAGAAAGAAATCCAATTACCTATTTAGAGTAATTAGTACATAGGCACAGAGCAGGAAATGGACCATATACATATGAAGAATTTTTGCTTTTACGTTAAAACAGCATTTATATACTGTACAGGTATAATGGATCCAAAACATTTAGACAAATGGTGGACTCTGAATATTTCAGTACAGAAGCCTGTAAAGAACTATATTTTAAGCATGTTCTATAATATTGTAAATGTACTACTTAAGTGTGTATAAAATAAAATAATACAAATTGTGAGATGCAAGTAAGTTTCACCAACATGTGTATTTAAATAAAATTTTTATCCTTGTTTCCACAAACTTAACCCTTAAACCCCGGGTGACGTTCTTGGCCCCTTGAAGTTTGCTTATCGTAAGAGTTTTGATATAAATTTACTTGGGCCTGACTATAACCACTTTACTTTATTTGTAGGAATTTCCTCGTATCAGTAATTCTTCAGATTCTGGAACTACTGTATACCAATGTGACCACAGGAAGCTATTTGTCAAGATCTCTTTTAGTTACAACAGTAGCCTTCAGCATCAAAAGTACTAAATGTTAATCATTCTTATATGGGTTCACATCACCTCAAGCAGTTAAAAATCATTTATTTTAATATTACAATTAGCCAAGAAGGAAGCTTAATGAAAAAAATTGCTAAAGGATGAAACGCTTATTAAATGAAGTTGATATGATCATTGAATTTAACTGAAAATATAAGAATACTGTATACAGTACAGTACTCACCTTCTATAAGTCGAGTAGTCATTCTTAACACTGGATTTCATATTCTTTAATTCATCTAAAACTGCAAACATATTTATGAATTTTCCAAGAGTCAGTAGATATGCTTCAGACACAAAGTCCTTTCTTTTTTCTTGATGACATAGCCGTTTCACTTGGGTGCAGAAGACATCAATAGCTTTGCGCTGTTGAAACACAACATTTGATAAGTGTCCAGTGAAACAGGATAGCTATACCCAACACAATGCAAAAGGGCACGCTTATTCACAACATTTCTTAACTATCACTTGTTGGTGTTTAAAGACCAAGCTACATAAACATATTGCTTTTTAACAACTATAATATTACACTCTCTTTCAACTTATGTACACTGTGATCCACCTGTTTCTTTGTTTACATTTAGAAATACAGTACAGACATTTGATAAATGCAATAATGTATAACATCAGATAAGAAAAGCGCCCTATATATCTGTGTATTTTGCTGTACTGTAACTAGTGTATCTTGCTATAACTAGGCATCCAAGTACCTCGTCTGTATCGAGGCATACTCTAGTGTTATAGCTATAACATATCTTGGTGTATCTGAGAGCATATTGTTGCACCTAGATGTTGTTCCAAAGATCATTTTGCACTACCTAGAAATATCCTGCTGTACCTATGTATAACCTGGTTTACCTGCACATACAATATTGAGTGGTATATGGTACAAGAGAGATAAGAAGACCAATAAGGAGATGGAAGAAAGCATTATTAGTGAAGAGGTGGTGAGCATCCAGGAAGCAGCAGATTATGTGAATGATAAATGAGCAACTCAAAGTGGTTTAACGGGAAGGTACAGTAGCAAGACAGTAACTGTAAGCAAAGAGAGAGCCTGTATTTGATCTTGATTATGGCCACTCTACTATAATGCAGGAAAGAGCCTGAAAGTCTGAGAAAAGAAGACTGATTATCACACAAGCTTGTCAATTCTAATGTGAAACCTTGGCATTTAAGAATACAGTACAGTAAGAATTTAACCTTACCTGAAAGTTCATGAATTTTGTCAATTTTTTAACTTCATCAGAGAGCACTCTGACTGTCTTCTCATATATCTCAACACGATTAGGTTGTTCATTTGACTTGGGTTGTGGGATAGCACGGGAACAGCAGCGCCATGTATACAGCATTACTGCATGTTGCTCTCCTTCCTCAAGCAGTTTATTCTAAAACAGATGAAATATTATATTCGACACACAACTCAGACCATTAGAAAGACATATGATAATAAACCTAAACAAGAATACTGTAACCAGATGAAAATGTTTGCTTGATTACAACTAATGATTAAAATGAAAAACTCAACTATATAACAAAGGAAACATTGATGAAGACGATTACAATGACAGGATGCAAGATGAAAACAGCACCTCATCTTACTCTTAAAGCAGATACAGTACTGTAACTTAAAAACAGAACACTTTTTCTAATACAGTACGGTACAGTATCTTTATTCCTTTCCCACTTCTATGTTGGTTGGGTTAAGAAACACAGAATCTTCAAAGAAATTGGGAAATACCCTATAATGGGGAGAATAGTGCAAGACATGTGCAGTACAGAATATATGTAGTAGCACTGGAGAATTTTGCAATATTTTACTGAAATTTTTTTAGTTCCAATAATTTTTTTATTTATTCCATGAGAAAAACCAAGCTGGAAGCATTTTAAATCAACCAACTCCATAGACATGAAGGGACACTACAAACGCTCAAAACCCATGCACTCAGAAAGAATACAGTACTTCATCCTTGACCACCGACGGGTCAAGACATGTCAGACGCACCTGGCGCTGCTCAGCAGCAGCCACGTCAACTGTTATGTTGGCCCATACCAACTCCCTCCCCTGAACCCTCCTCCCCACAGGAATATCAACAAGTTCTCGCCAGAAGTTACTATTTCATTTGGGAAAGGAATGGAACCAGTGTTGAATAGTGGTGAACAGTGCTTAAGTCAGTGAAAAACAACTCGACAGTTGAGTCTGAGCCAAGCTAACCTTCACACAGTGAGGTCCCAGGTACCCAGTGATAATTCCCCTGAGACTTCACAATAGCGAGGCCTGGGACCACACCTCACCCACTTGAGTGAGTGAATTCCTGTGACAACGGACCACGTGGTGTCCCCATTATGCACGACACCGCATAGTGAATAAGTTGCTACAGCATCATGTGAAGTTCCTCATAACACCTGCGAGGGAATTACTACACCACATGATGCCCCTCATAACACCATCCGTGAGGGAATTACTACGCCATGTGATGCCCCTTATAACACCATCTGTGACGGAATTACTACACCACATCAGGCCCCTCATACACCATCTGTGAGGGAATTACTACACCAAATTAGGCCCCTCGTAACACCATCTGTGAGGGAATTACTACACCACATCAGGCCCCTCATAACACCATCTGTGAGGGAAGTACTACACCATCATCAGGCCCTTCGTAACACCATCTGTGAGGGAATTACTACACCACGTGAAGCCCCTCATAACACCACCTGTGAGGGAACTAGTACTCCACACGATGCCCCTCATAACGCCATCTGTGAGGGAGTTACTACACTACGTGTCTGCTGTTCAACACCTCAGCTCACATGATCTACGTGTGTAAACATTAATCTGTATGTTCACTGTATATGTTCCTTCATCTTTCTCTAATGAAGGCTTTTGTTAAACCACCAATGTATGTAATAAGTCATTTATGTCCAATGTATATTTTCAGCCTTCGGGCTGCAAACTTTTTCAATAAACCGTTTATTATTATTATTATTATTATTATTACTATAATAGGATTTCCAAAAGAGAGCTTCCCTCACTATAGTATTTTTATAATTCTGTGAATGAATATTTTTCTTTTTACTTATCAACTCATATCTCACCAGTTCAGCATGTGTAGCAGCTTCTTCCATGTACTTAGCCACACCTGTCACATATGCCATACGATCTTCAAAGTTTGTATCAAAGTTTGCAATGTACACAACCGAGCATGCCTGTGCCTCAATGACAGGCTGCTGGTCAGGTAGTGGCAAGTCATCCAAAACGTCAACATTGCTGAGAGCATCAGTGATTGTTACACGTTCACCCGCCATCCCGATTCTGAAAGTAAATGTAATGAAAGTCTTATTAAATCATGTTCTACCGAGTATGTTCTACAGAATCCGTCGCACGAAAAACATTACCCCCAATCTTCTCAATGAAAACTTACTTGAAAGTCACTTCAAAGAAAACAAAATTCCTTATTGCTTCTTTTCACCTGAAATCCCTACCATCAAAGGCTTGCATCAATTCAGTTACCAAAGAGAATATAGAACAAATAAAATTAGAATATGGAGTACAGTAGACCCTTGCCATTAGCGAGGGATGGAATCACACTAAAAATATTAAGGAAGAAGAGAGAAAAAAGTGACAAACAGATTACCAGTGTATTTCACCTTAACCTTTGTTCACTTATTTGTAGAACAGAATACAGTACAGTATGCATAATCCAGATCCCCTGTGGTATATAAGCAATCAAACTTCAAGTACCGTATATCATATAGTGTAGTGTAGTGTATACCGGTATACTCCATAAAATATATATTATAATGTTAACCCACACTTCCTGTATCTCATATAATGTACTCCATTCAATATACGAATGACTATCAGCTATTTGACCAGGACCCGTAGGGATTGTGTATGATTTTACCATGATTTTAATGGGATTATGGTCAGGATGGCTATGGGCATTACACTATTAGTGTATTTAAATGTTGAATACTTTATCACTATCTTCTTTAATTGTCTTTTGATACTCCAAGATGCCCCACTTCTCCCGGGGACATACTGTAGATTAGGTTGGGCTGGGATTCTGGTCAGGATGGCTGTGGGCATTACACTAGTCAAATTTACACATTATTTAAATGTTGAATAATTTATCACTATCTTCTTGAATCGTCTTTCGATACTCTGAGATGTCCCACTTCTCTCATGGACATACATAATGTAAGTTAGGTTAGGTCAGATCAACATCTTTTTAGGTCTAAACCTGATACCTAAAGAGTATCATAACTGTTAAACATTGAGGAGTTGGTATTCTTAACAAACTGATTTTGAATTTATACTGATTTTATCTTCCTTGCATCATTAATTTTTCATGTATTATTTCTATTTGGTCGATTTTTTTTTCTAATACACATATGTAGTTTGAAATTATCAATAAAATATTATGTACAGTACCCTGTATAATTTTCTGTAGCCAGAAGAAGTTTGTTTTATTTTAGATCTTGGTCATATAACCAGTGGTTATTCGGCCGAATACCACTCAAATAACCCCCGCCTACAATATATTCCCAATGGGGATGCCACTTTTAATATTTTATTTGGCTAACTCCAGACAATTTTATTCAGCACAGAGAGACCCCTCATACATAAGGGGTTATGAAGTGCAATGAAAAACAGTACAGTATTTAGTTCCTACCATCCCTGTGCAGTATTTTTGCTTATCCTTCATTAAAGTAAGTGCTACCTTATGCAATACAGTAGTGAAATTACAGCATCTACAACTTTTTCACATATTGTTGGAATGAATTTGACGATATTTAATGCATTCCCATATACAGTACTGTATCGTAATGCGGAAAATTCAACCATGAGCTAGAACTTCCTCAAGCTAGAACAATACCTGTAGCCCAATAATTTAAGTGTAATAACCAGCCTGGAAGGTCGACCAAACAACTTTATATTGATATTTATATAGGGAGATAAGAGCCCCAAGATTCCTTTCTACAATAAAGTTTCTGTCATAAATTTATATTTGTAGAACTTTTTAGACTTTTCAATTTGACATAAAGAAGTATATTTTGGCAGGAGACACTGTTTACATCTCACTCACATAACTACATCCCGCCAATCAGCAGTAGTTTCGGTGTCATGTGATACTCCTGTGCATGCTCAGACTTTTGGCTATTCGTAAGACGGATCGTCTGTGCAACGGGTGCTCTTCCTCACTATTGTCAAGATAAGAAACTTTGGTTTTGTGCAAAAAAAAATAAATAAAAATCTCCAAGGCAAAGAGATCGCCTCACTGTGCCTTCTGTGTTAAAGGGCACTTGTGGGACAAAGTACTTACAAGTAGCATCACTTTATCCTCCAGCATCTGATAATTAAGGTATAGTTAGGTTAGGTCAGTTTTGATTAGGCTTGGTTTGGTTTGGTTTAGTTAGATTATGTTATGTTATGTTTGGTTGCGTTAGTTTATGTTTGGGTTGGTTTGGATTTTTTCTTAGGTTTTTACCCCACATTTTTCTCTCTACTTCCAAGCTCTGCCCAATTTATGCAATAAAAATTTTTGGTAGTGGAGAGGAGTCATATCTCCAGAACAGCTCATTTACGATGGAAATGAAGGTCAGATTCAATTAAAACACTATGTAACACATTAGAAAAACATATTCTTGTTAGTAGATCCCACTGTAGACCTTTACCACCAGCCCTCTCCAAGGCCCCAGGACAAGAGGCAGCAAACGTTAGCAAATACCCTTAGGAATGAAAGATAAGTTACGAAATTACTTTGTATCGGACACAGCATTTCTGAACAGTCATGTAGCATGGTAGTAAACACAGGTGAAATTTCAATGTAAATATGGTAAAAGTGCAGTTTCGCTCCAAATTGGTTTATTACCAGAAATCTAGATTTTTCCCATGATACTGTATTTGGCGATTCGTTCGAATTTGACGTTCATTTCCGTCGGAAATGAGTTGTTTTATATTTATCACCCTCCAACAATCTTGGGAGTGAAACTACAGTAATACCATAAATACAGGTAACCCTCAATGTACTATAATTCTTCATGATATTTTGATACAACAATAACATAAAATCATATTTAATGAGAACAAATGTTATGTAAACTCCAGGCAGTTTGATTGGCAAACACAGATCGTAATGTCACTGCTTGCAAGCCAACATAACTTTTCAAAGCCAGCTCTGTAGTCTTTCAAATAGTTCAATAAGGTGTACATGGATCGTGAAGAATTTCCCAGGATAATATAAGAGATCACCACAAAATCAGTGGCTGTTTGTCCAGACAGCCAATAACACTACCGTAGTAACCAAGTGACCTAACACAATTTTACCCAAGAACTTTACATGAAAACTCAGAGCCTACAAACTAATTATCATTACCTTATTTATCATACACTGGATGAATTAAAACTCGATAATTTTAGAGACCTTTAAATTATTTTAACATGTTCTAGTTCTTTCAACTCTTGAACATGAACGATCAAGGGGCTTAAGAACATTTTCTAACATCTACAAGTCCGATATTTAGCTGCAAACACTGAAACACATGTATTTGATCAGTTACTTACCTATATTGTATAAACGCACTCTAAATTGACATGTTTGTGTGACATTACTCTACTGGACCCAACCCTTTCCACCGTAAACAAAGTCACAGACACAACTGACAGGATACATGAGTGTCGCCGGGCGCACCAATATCTTTCTCTCTCTACTGCCTTCCTCTCTACTACAATGAAGGAAATATGTATCAAACATTTTTTTAGGTTTTAAAATCAAATGTATATCGTAAAAAAGAAAATCGTGGGTATGTATAATGAGTATTGCAAAGAAAAAACTTCAAATTGCATATAATAATACTACATGATCCAAATATAAATAAAACATCAGTAAAGGAGTATCTTATTCACATTATCGAACATTAATCTGACACCAACGATATTTAGTATACTGTACTGCATTACACTCAAGTTCAGCTTTGCCAGGTCTAGGAAAATTTATCTTTTCTAGAGAAAAAATTACCTCTAGGGGGAAAAACGGAAAATGAAAAGTACTATAAACTATGGGAAAATGCTATAAAACTATGGGAAAATGACAATGAAGTATTTGCGTACACCCTCAAAAAAGGAACAAAACTAAAATTCGCAGTGGCGGATCCACCGTCTTACACGGTTTCCGGAAGTCGGTCAGAATTTTTTAGTAAAAAAGTTTCAGATTTATTGTAATCAGTAATAACAGCGCGCCAAATCTCAGTCGACTAATGTTGTGCATTGCTAAGAAGGGTAGCCTGACTGTGGGGAGTATGCTGTGTGAATTGATTTTGATTTTGCCACTTACAGCGGCTACTTTATTGTGCACCCCACACACATCCTGTGAGCAGTAGCGCAAAAGGATTGCAGAGTAGAGTTGACAACGGGTCGTAATAATTAACCCCCGTTGTCATGATTTTATGGCACTGAATGTCACACAGTATTTCAATTACATTATTTGTTTAGACTTTAGTTCTATACATAAAGGGTAACTTATTCACAACTGCGTGAGTACAGGCGTATGAAGCAGTATGTCTGGCCGCACACTTTGTTATTCACATTTGCGTGAGAAGTATTCAAGCACATTGTGTATTTGGTTCTATACATGAGAACTGATATAGTTACTCAGTGCAAAAAAAGTGGATACAGTCTTAATATGTCGGCTGTCTTGCCATTAGAGATGAAGTGTTGTGCCATTTCACACACAGTGTGCTTGGACCTGTCCCAAAAAGGTTCTATCTTCACACAGTCGAGGACGTAGTGTTCAAGTGTGTGGCCATATGTATGGCCACACACTTTACATTTAGTCTTGTTTACATCTGCTTGAGGAACATCCTGCCAGAGGTACTTATATCCTAACCTTAATCTAGCGGTTACAACATCTTGTAATCTAGTGATCTTGTTACTTGCTCCATATACGTACATGTTTCATTTGATACATCTCATCATGGTAAACTATGGAGCGACTAGTGCCTGTTTGCACTTGTCTACTTGCGTCAAATTCACCAATAAGTTCTTTCCTAATTTCAGTTTTATAGGGTTCTTTTTGACAGACCCAAATTGTATTCAACGGTGTCTTTGTTAGACGCGAGTTTGCCGAGGGCATCAACTCTGTCATGTTTTATGAGGCCTATGTGAGAGGGGATCCACATTGACCTTGACACCCCGGTCAACAAGGTACGCATATTTGTGTCTGGCTTCAGGGACAAGAGCGTGATAACTTGAGTTGAGGGTGTCAAGGGCAAGTAGTGAGGATAGAGAGTCAGTGATGATGAGACTGTCAGTGACAGTGGTTTCAATTAATTTAATAGCTGTGAGTATGGCAACTAATTCAGTTTGTAGAGTGGATGCCCAGTTGTTAATTCTAACTCTTTTCTCAATTATATTACCGTTAGGTTGAGTCACAACAATAGCACTTCCAGCCCTCCCACAGGCGGTGTTAAGAGATCCACCAGTGTACAGTAGATGGTCTGTGTGATATTATCATCAATCTGTAGAGTGTGTATGTGTTCAAGAGCTCTCACTCTGACAGTGTGTTGGAGATAAATTCTTTGTATAATTAATTTTTTAGGCGGATATGTCGGTATTGTGATATCGAAGGGAACTGTCCGCCAGGGTGGCAGGGAGCGCTGTTGTGTCTCAACTTTGTACAGGTGGTCTAGTCCAAACAACTTCATATGTGTAGCTGTAGTTTGGATCCATTTAGACTCACCAGTCCCGTGGTTCATACATTCTAGCAATTTTAAGGAAACAATGTTATCAGGATCACCACGCAGAAGCCTCAGGGCTATCATGAGGTTGACTTCAATTATTCTATCATTAACACTGGGTATGCCTAATTCTTTCCTCATATTAAATAATTTAGTGCTCATGGGACATCCTAGGATAATTCTGAGGGCTTTATTTTGCATTTTCTCGAGCTTGTCAACGCCTTTCCTTTCACGAAGGACCAGGGCTGGTGCGTGATAATCGATCAGAGATCTTATATAGCTAGGTACATTGTTTTAACAATTCTAATATTAGCACCATAATGTGGGCTGTACCCCGCTACACTTTTAAGAGGTCTCAGTCTGTCAGTACCTTGGTGGGTTAGCTGTTGTATGGCAGGTAAGGTACAAGCGACGGAGACACGCCGAAAAGTTATCCAAAATAGCAGTAAAAAAACTGAACTGCCTTATGCAACGCAACGCGGCAAGACTAACAGGGAAGCAGCATCTGGGTGCGCGATTTGGCCAAGGAGCTATGACGAAGCAAGGAAAATCCATGGTGATTGGCTGACTCGGGGTATGGTCCATGGGACGCGCGCTGTCATTGGCTCATGTTCCTCTCACTCTGAATGGGATGTGACCACCTTTACTTCCCGAGCACACAGCCAGATAAGTAGCTCCCGGCCTGAGGCAAAATGACACCCTATTTTTGAAAAACTTTCAACCATATTTCTAGTCTACCTAGGGGGTTACATCCAACGTCAACATGTAGAGGAAGGGTGAAAATAGTGATATCCATAAAAAAACACATTTTGCCTGGGGTGGCACTTAACCCCCTTGTAATGCGGAGCACCTCAAATGCTCTGCCTACTCTTGCCACCCTGCTCGCCAAGCAGCGGCGCCGATCATACCCCGATCATACCACGGCCTGTATCCTTGAGTAGACAGGATTGGATAAATACCCCTCCTGCCTCGCCGTGAAGGCTATGGAGAGGTCATTTCCAAGTTGAAGCAAAATAGGTTGCTTTGCCGGGGGGGGGGGACTTTTTCGAGGACCTTCGTCGTTTCTTTGGTTAATTTCGACACAGCTGAATATATTCTGTTTTGCATTTCCGTGTCTTCTCCTTCTCCTTCTCCTCCTTTTATCTAACCATTGCTTTTCGTGTGGGGCAGCGAGCAGCCAGTGTTCTGTGCTCTCCTTCACACTTTTAGCATTTGGGGGTATCTTTGTTTTTATATTCCCAAAAGGGAATGTACTTTGTGTGTCCTTGTTAGGGCAGTCTGTAGCCGTGTGTGTGTGTGTGTGTGTATTGGTAGCAATTCCAGCATGGAGTATTGAATTGAATTGAATTGAATTGAAACAGTTTATTTAGCCAGAAAAACACAGATACAGAGTGGATAATAATAACAATATTAACATGGCTGAGCCAGTTGAGAACCTGAGCTCTCTTTTAGGCACCTGATATATACTATACATTTATCTCAAGGAAGTATTATGTAACATTTAGTATCATCTGGAATAGTAAAATAGCTTGGTGGTAATAAGAACATTTCATAATGTTACCACGGTTATCACTTCAATATTTATTTATTTTATTTATTTATTATCCAGGGCATCAGGAACCTTGAGTACAGAGATAGGTTAAAGCATTTTAATTTGTACTCCCTCGAGAGACGGAGAGACGGTAGAGTGAGGGGCGATATGATAGAGGTGTATAAATGGAAGTCAGGGCTGAACAAAGGGGACATTACAAAGGTACTCGTAACAAATGGTTTTAAATTAGACAAATTTAGATTTAGGCGCGAAATAGGTAAACATTGGTTTGTAAATAGAGTAGTGGACGAGTGGAACAAGTTACCAAATATCATCATTAACTCGAATAAGCTGGATATCTTCAAACATATGTTGGATGCATATATGAGCAATAGGGGTTGGGTGTAAATGGGGCTGCCCAGTATGGGCCAATAGGCCCGTTGCAGTTTCCTCCATTCTTATGTTCTTACTAGTTACACAAGAACCTAGTAGAACTCTCCAACTAACACAATAACAAATATCCCCTTGCTAGCTAGTGTAGTGGATACCTCCCCTACAAACGCTGTTTGTCGCTGAGTAGCCGACCCCGCGAATTCCCCAGTGTATGCCTTGTGGTCTAGGTCAACCAGCGCCGCCTTACATGACGGAGGTCAACTATTAAGCCACGCCTACCTCCGCTATATAAGACCTGACCTCGTGGTGACCTACCTCTCTCTTTCTACCGACACCAACCAGCAAGCAACACCTCCTCCTCCACTCCTGCCTGGCGGCCCTCGCTCCCGCCGGCGAGCATGGCGACCCACAAGCTGGTCCTCCTCTGAGCACCCTCGCCAACCACCAGCTCTCTCTACTCAACGCTTGTAACCATGCTGCCTTCCCATCACCAAGCTGCATTGTACATCCAATACAACATGTATACAGAGAGCACATTGTGAGTTTCCTTTCTCCATCCCATCCTGAGTGTGAACCAAATAACCCGTACACCACACTAGCTCATTATCCTGAATATGTCGATATTCCTAACTTTTTTTAACTGTTTGATGCACTAGATCAGGTACACATAACAGTGTGACTGCTGTAAGACAATACAGTATTAGGGTTAAAGAAGGATATTGATTAAAGCAATACAGTACTAACTCACCCGTCGTCGCTCAGCAAGATAGGGGCAGGCTTGAGCCTCTCCAGGATGGTGGGGTCCCGGAAATGGCATGTGTTATCCCCATGAGGCCCCGCCAGCGACCCCGACGACCTATACCTGTTACTGGTGGTGCTCGACAGGGATTGTCCGCTGTTTCTGCGGGAACACCAAACATTGTTACCTACTGCGGTAGACATAAAAAAAAACATATTATTGTTATAATGTATGACTGCGCTTTAAACCGCTGAGGTATGAGAATGTATTTTCAGGGGTGGATCCAGGAATATCAAAAGGGAGGGGTCCAAGAAGTTGTGGGTGCTGGGGGAACATGGCGTGCACAGCGAGCCCACCCAGTTGGGGGGTTTGGTGAGGGGGGGGGGGGGGCTGTAAACCCCCAGATTTTTTGTTTTTAATCTGACCAATATCGTGGCCATTTTGAAGCCATGTGCACTTGATATTAGGAGATATTCTGAGGTGAATAGTAATTATTTTTTTTATTTTAAAAATGCCCGAGTCCAATACTACATTAAAGAAAAAGTACTGGTTTTCTGATGAAACGGGGAGGACTAGACCCCCAGGACCCCCTGGATCTGCCCTTGATTTAGGTTAGTACATGCACTATACCTTTTCCACACCAACCTGGCTCGTAAACCACACCCCTCGTCTGGAGCTACAAATAGCTGATTGATTCCCCTGAGCGTTTTACCTCCCCCTAGTGTGTGGACGGACACCTGCCACCCAACAACGTGGTGGGAGGGCAAGCGATATGCTCCTCGACTCAGCTCTGTGGACAACCCACCTGCTATTCTGCTATTATTCCCTACTACAGTACCTTACTTCCCGTTTCTATTCTTTCCTCTCTTCTCTCCTGGCAAAGCCATTTGCTACTTTACTTCATTTTCATCAGGCAAAACCCACCAACCTCCCGCCGGTGTCAGGAGGCAATGATCACCCTTTCACCCGTCAACACGACGCCATCAGCATTGAAAGATGAACACCCACCACCCAATCCATTGAGGTAGACCGCACTTGCGAGCATCTCAACAAACTCATGAAGGTCCATGCTGGCCTTGTTGGTGTCATGGGTTACGTTAGGCTTACCCACGCAACCAACTCCAAAGTTGTTTTACTAGAAATAAGACACCCGGCGAGGGATAACTGGGACATGTATTTTCCATTAGTGTATGTTAGCCAGCCTTTAGGGGGGTGGGCAGTGAAACAGTGTTGTACTGTTCATCACTTCACACCCAAAAACCTCATTTTAAGTAGTATCCAGACGACCATGGCTTAGTTAAGACGTCGTCCCCATCCTCTCCCTCCTGAAAGGGAGCTGGACACCACACCACAGAGTCCTCCACCGCCACTCCGCCCTGTGGACCGTCGTCGACACGAGATTAAGTGTGTTAACCTAGGTTGTTATCCCCGAGGAAATATCACGTGTGGATTGCCTGGTTGCAACAAGAGCAATCCAGGCTGGCCTGTCAAACCTACAGTAAATGGTTAATTAATTCACGCTTAGAGTTCTCCTGCACGACACCCGTCTACAGTGACCGTGATCGACACGAGACTAAGCGTGTTAACCTAGGTTTGTTATCCCCGTAGAAATATCACGTGTGGAAGCCTGGTTGCGACAAAAGCAATCCAGGCTGGTCTATTGCACCTAAATGGTTAATTCAAGTCACGCTTACCAGTTCTCCTTGCCGGGACAACAGTCTACAGTGACTGTCAGTGACGCGAGACTATGTGTGGTAACCCAAGAGTACTTTTTGTTGTTATGGCCGTGGAAAGAAGTTCTTGTGCAGAAGCCTGGTTGCAACAAAAGTAATCCAGGCTGACAATAAATGTATCACATGAAGAATTAAGGCTCTGTGAAGTCATACCCATAGTAGAGTAATAGCATGTGTCCCCAAGTTGAAAATTCTCTTTTAGAAGATTAATTTTATTACAGTGTGAACGTGAGTGATTCATATATCCATGCAAATTGTAAATCATTGTATGGAAGCTTGACAAATAAATGTAAGTGCAATTATCTGCCCGTATCTGTGATCCTATCTTATTATTACTAAAGGTAATGGATATAGAATATAGAATCATTGGAAAGAATCCAGAGGAGAATGACAAGACTAATCCCGGGCATTAGGAACCTTGAGTATAGAGACAGATTAAAGCATCTTAATTTGCACTCCCCCGAGAGAGTAGAGTGAGGGGCGACATGATAGAGGTGTATAAATGGAAGTCAGGGTTAAACAAAGGTGACATTACAAAGGTACTCAAACTATCCAAACAGGAGCGAACTCGTAACAATGGTTTTAAATTGGACAAATTGAGATTTCGGCGTGAAATAGGTAAACACTGGTTTGGAAACAGAGTAGTGGATGAATGGAACACGTTACCAAATATCATCATTAACTCGACTACGCAGGATAGCTTCAAACATAGGTTGGATGCTTATATGAGCAATAGGGGTTGGGTGTAAACGGGACTGCCCAGTATGGGCCAATAGGCCCGCTGCAGTTTCCTCCATTCTTATGTTCTTATGTTCTTATGTTCTTTCTCAATGCTTCAGTTGAACTTTGTTGAACATCAATGTTCATGTTTTAACAGAGTGAAAGCCTTATGCACCAAGTAAAACATAACGAAACTTAAACATCGTCTGTGTCGATGCCATACGTTTTCCTTGCCAGATGTATGTGATGATTTGTAATTTGAGTTTAGACTTTCTGACACTCTCTCATCGTGTCTCAGGCACGGTGTGTGTGGTGGCTGATACCCACAGCTACCGGGAAACGGTGGCTGATACCCACAGCTACCGGGAAACGGTAGCTGCCTCCCAGCAAAGTGTCCAAGGCAGGATGTCTTTAATTCAGCGAGTTTAGAAACAGGGAGTAACGTTCCCTGGATGTTAATCACAGGAGAGTGGGCTCTCCCACGACGCGTCAGAGTTTAGCAAGGCTACAGCTGAACACATGTGTTTGAAAACCAGTTATGTGAGTCTGGTGTATTAATCTTGATTATATGTGCAAAGTAGTGTTCTTGTACATGAATTTGGATATTTAGCCGAAATATAATTGTGCCAGGTTGAGTATTGAAGCCAAAGAAGAAAAACAGAAGACAACTCTAAAGGCAACAGGGGAAGTTAAAACCAGCAGAGGGCAGCTAAGAACTGTTCTTTTTGTTCTCTTTATTTTTAAATAGGTGTAGATCCATACACAGTCTCAACAACAACAACAACAACCATGAGTATGGTATGTGATTACTGCAGGGGGACGTGAGATATGGAGGATACAGGCCTGACTACTGCAACGTTTAGGAAGATGCTAACTGCAGTAAAGCATGAAGGCTGTTGCTGGTATTGCCCTGACTACGTAGTCAAGGTGAATGAGGCGATTGCAAGCCATAGGGGAACGACTTCCCTAGGGACGAAAATAGATAAAGTTGGAGCCCTGCTGGTTGCCAAACTGGAACAAGTTGGGAAAGAGATCCTTGCTAAGACTCAAGAAGTAACCGAAAAAATGTAGGTGGTAGTGAAGAGGAGTTATGCTCAAGCTTTAGCAGGGCCACGGGAGGTGGCGGAGAGTAATTCAGGATCCAAACAGGTTCTACAGCAGCTAGGAACTCTGTGTGGAAGAAATTAAAATTAACGGACCTACTGTTAAGGGAGAGGAGGAACATCAGGAACGTTTCCAGCGCAGGAACAACGTAATAGTTTTTGGAGTCCCTGAGAGCCAGGCGGAGGGAACTGAGAGTAAGATGACACACGATAAGATGCAGTTTAAGAACATTTGTACAGAGGTTCTGAAGATGCCATCAACCCCTCACGATGTGAGGAGGCTGGGACGAAAGCAAGGGAACAAGCCTCGCCCCCTCGGGATCACACTAGTGAGTGAGGAGGAGAAATGGGAGGTTATTCGGGAGGCAAAAAACTTAGCAAGAAGCGAGGCATTTCGGAGTGTATTCATTCACCCAGATCGCATGGTAATGCAGCGGGAACAGCCACAGCTCTGCCTATCAGCCGGGAGGAGCAGAGCGCCTTGTAAACAATGACATTTCTAACCACACCCTGCAAAATACAGTGTACTTAGCAAATGCTGCAGCTTCTGAGAATGGGGAGGGGGGCTGGGTTACTACTAAGAGCAGAGACGTTACCGAGAACAAATTTTGGCTTGAATGTCATGTACAGTAATACTGACACGTTCCTTGATAAGACAGATGAGTTTGAAACATTACTGAAGGTACACCAACCAGATATTGTGGGAGTTGTAGAGCTGTTGTACAAGAACAGGAGAATCGACCCAGAGGAATGTGAGTTCAGTATTGCTGGATATGACTCATTTACGAACCTTTCTCAAGAAACTTGCAAGAGGGGTGTGGTTATCTATGCTAGGCAAGATCTTAGAGCCAGCCAGGCGAGGGTACAGGGAGAGGATATTTTTGAAGAGTCCAAGTGGTGTAAAATTAAACAAGAGGGAGGGGACTTACTTATTGCCGGGTGTATCTAAAGATCCCCAAACTGTGGCCCACTAAATCAAAGGAACTTAAGAGCTTAATAGACAATGCGGTGATGCTCAACCCTAGCCACCTCCTTATCATGGGGGACTTTAACTATGGCGACATTGACTGGAGAAACGAGTTCACCCCAAAAGACTTGAATGACCCTGCTACTCTTTTTGTAGAAACTCTGAGAGATAATTTTCTGTTCCAACATGTTAGAGGCCCGACACATTACAGAGGGAAGCAAATACCCAAGCCACTAGACCTCATCATACCAAATGAGGAGGGTATGGTGGCCAAACTGGAACACCTTGCCCCATTTGGCACCAGTCACCATATAGTGTTGTCATTCAGATTTAACTGTTACCTAGTTAAAGATAAGGCCAGGCCAAGGTGCAAATATTACAAGGGAAATCACAACGGGATGAGGGAAGAGATGAGGGGTATCCACTGGCCTGACTCATTAAGGCACAAGAACGCAGACACTACACTGAATATCATAGCTAGTAAAGTGACCCATCTGATAGATAAATATATACCCAAGACCAAACACAGTGCCTCTAGGAAGACAAGGGGATCCTTACACGTGAACCATGCGGCGGTCGACAAAATTAGGAAGAAAACCCAGAAATTCAAGACGTGGATTAGGTCAAATGATGAGCAGGACAGGAGGATGTATGCAAGAACCAGAAACCAAGCAAAGATAGAATGTAGAAGGGCTGAAAAGGAGTTCCAGAGGCTGGTTGCAAGCGAGGTCATGTCAAACCCAAAGGCGTTTTACCGCTATGCAAAGTCGAAATTAAAAACGCGAGTAGGAGTATCAGACCTGAGGCTTGAAGATGGTAGTTATGCAGATCCTGACCAGAATAAAGCTAAGGCATTGAACAGCTTCTTTTCCTCGGTGTTCACAAGAGAGGATACGATTAACCTTCCTGCGTTTGAGGACAGACGGTTTGACACAGCACTGACCCACATTGTGTTCACAGAAAAGGGTATTAGAAATAAACTGTCAAAGCTAAAGGTCCATAAGAGTCCTGGACCTGACATGGTGCATCCTAGAGTTCTAAGAGAGTTGTGCAACGAGCTTGCTGAGCCCCTGAAGATCCTGTTTTGTAAATGCCTGGATGAACAAAGCATCCCCAGTGAATGGAAAATGGCTTATGCAAGTCCTATCTTCAAGAAGGGTAATCGTCACTCCACGGACAACTAATAGACCGGTGAGACTGACCAGCATAATATGTAAAGTACTTGAGAGTATTATCAGAGATGCCGCGATGGAACATCTACTACGAAACAACCTTGTAAAGGATTGCCAACACGGTTTTATGCCGGGGCGCTCCTGCTTAACACAACTGCTCAAGGTATTGGATATTTGGACCCATATTCTGGAACGGGGTGGTAATATCAACAATATTTACCTAGATTTTGCCAAGGCTTTCGACAGAGTACCCCACGAAAGGATGAAAATCAAACTGGAATGGTACGGAATTCGGGGAAATGTCCTTGCGTGGATAGAAGACTTTCTACATGACCGCAAGCAGTGTGTGCATGGTGATTAATGGCAAGAAATCATCATCCGTACCTGTCAGAAGCGGGGTACCACAGGGCAGTGTATTGGGCCTGCTGTTGTTTGTTTGTTTCATAAATGACATGCCTGAGGTTGTACACTCCTCCATACAAATGTTTGCCGATGACGCCAAGTTATTTCGGGAAATCAAGAACCAAGCGGACTGTGAAGAGCTGAAGAAGGACCTCTGTGGGCTCCAAGAATGGTCGAAGAAATGGCTGCTGAGATTCAATGTCACGAAGTGTAAGAGGATGCACCTGGGGCATACCAACGGTAAGGAGGCGTATCATATGTCCCAACGGGATGAAGAAACTGCACTATTTGAGACTGAATGTGAGAAGGACCTAGGTGTGTATGTTGACAATGAGCTGAAGTTCTCGGGCCATTGTGTGAAGAAGGTAAATCAGGCAAATAAATTATTGGGTCTTATAAGAAGGTCGTTCAGATATCTAGATGGGTCTGTCCCTCGTAACGATCTTCAAGAGTGAAGTGCATCACCATTTGGAGTACCTGCACTTCGGCACCTCAGCTACCCTGAGAGATTGGAGCGCCTGAACTTGCCTAGCTTATACTAAAGACGGGCAAGGGGTGACCTAATTGAGGTGTATAAGCATCTCAAGGGGTACTACTCAGTCGAGTGTCCTTACTTGGAGCTGGCGGACGCTCGCCCCACAAGGGGTCACAGCTCAAGATTGAAGAAGCCGCAAGTCCAGAAAACTGTGAGGGCAAACTTTTTCGGAGTGAGAGTTGTGAACTCTTGGAACAGTCTACCAGAAAGTGTTGTGACGGCACCGAGTGTGAGCTCTTTCAAGACAAGATTTGACCAACACTGGAGCAGATTCGGGTACATTCAGGAGCCGGTGCATGCCCAGTACTTGCCAACAGTGCGTAACAGGGATGTGACCGGTCGTCCAAGCAGCTAACGAGCGGATCATTTGGTGAAGAGGATAAAAGAAAAGGAAAAGTAATCAGAGACGTGACCGATCGCCCAAGCGGCTAACGAGCCGATCAGTGGTGAAGAGGATAAAAGTAAGTATAAAATATTGCTATTACCAGTAGTATTAGAGTTTGTTATATGAATTGTGAGTGAACCATCAATGTGTACTCCCAATTGAGATGCTTGTATATGTTTCCATGTTGTTCATTCAGTAATAACGTGATGTTATAAGTAATGTGTTAATATCACTGTGTGTAAAGTTACCATCTTTATTGTCAATGATCTAAAATAATACCCTTAAGGAGGTAGAAGTTGAATGTTAATTGAAGATCTATTTTCTTACTTATAAAGTAAGACCCAGTGGTCAGTTCTTGTCTGAGTGTTACAGTAAAGTAATTAAAGACTGAACCTAGTTTTTGTTGTTAAGGATAAAGGTTCAAATTGTCATACTTTTCATATTTGATTTTTATAAATATTGATTTAGTAGATAATTAATGAGTATCACCCCTCCTTTCCTTCTAACAATTTGTTCTCAGAAAATAAATACTAACCCACGTGCCTTAGCTCGTCTACCACGCAACCTAACACTTTTAATGATGGAAGTTATATTCTAAATAAAAGCCTGGGTGGTGGCAGTCTACCTTGTAAGTATAATAATTATACTAAGAGATCATGTTAAAGATTGATATGGTTTCCCCAGGTTAATCCAGTGACAGAATATAAATGAGTACAAATGAGAATAGAAGAAAGAGGAAATGCACCAACAATAAGCACTGATAAATACTGAAATAATTAAGAGGAAAATATAATAAACAAATAATGACATTGAAAGAAATATAAGATATAGAAAAGAAAGGTAAAGAATATTGAAAGGAATAAATAAGCAGGCTGAAATAAATAAATAGAAAATAACTTAGAAAAGAATTGGCAAGTAAATCAGAAAATAAAAGATAATATAACAAAGAAAATTAAAGAAGGTTATAAAAGACATAGAAAACAACTTAAAAAACATAACCAAGGAAATTAAAGAAAGTGATGTAAGTTATAGTAACAGAAAAGACACAAAATAATAGTTATATTGAAAATATTTTACACATTTATCAGCAGAATTAATATTTGTTATATATATACTTCCTCCCTTTACACCCGCAGGTCAAAAAACTTGCATTGTACCGTCCTCTGCCTGTGTACCACAGTGTAGCGACTTCTACCTGTGTACCACACAGTGTAGCGATTTCTACCTGTGTACCACACAGTGTAGCGACTTCTACCTGTGTACCACACAGTGTGCCGTTCTCTGCCTGTGTACCACAGTGTAGCGACTTCTACCTGTGTACCACACAGTGTGCCGTTCTCTGCCTGTGTACCACAGTGTACCGACTTCTACCTGTGTACCACACATTGTACCGTCCTCTACCTGTGTACCACAGTGTACCGACTTCTACCTGTGTACCACAGTGTATCGTCCTCTACCTGTGTACCACAGTGTACCGACTTCTACCTGTGTACCACAGTGTACCGACTTCTACCTGTGTACCACAGTGTATCGTCCTCTACCTGTGTACCACAGTGTATCGTCCTCTACCTGTGTACCACATAGCGAGAAAATCACGACGACTCTCTCTGAAACCTGTTTTCTGGACGTTAGTGATAGTGGTGACTGAGCTCAACAAGAACAGCAAGGTGTGCCTATCGTGAATTATATAATGCAGTATGTTAACAAAATTTAAGTTAGTAATTATAAACAGAGTGGAAATTTCATCTTGTATACGATATCGGGGATGTATGATTTAATTTGAAAAAATACATCTGAACTTCTGCTGAAAATCTTTCTTCCCGTCATACTTAACTGAACATATTGTAGTTAGTGTCACTGATAGGAATATTGGAATCAGCTACGGGGATTAAAAGCCACGTAGGTAATAGTCATTGCGAGTCAATTTTACCTCATTTGACGTCGTTTCATTTCCTACAAAAGGACACAAGAGTATGCTGCAATATACCTCTTGATACACTCTAGGCAGCTCCTTTGTTTAGAATCACCCTTTTTCATGCATATATTTATCTAATCTATATTTAAAACTTCTAAAAGTATTTACACTACATAATTAGAAAGCTTATCCCTTTCATCCACCACTCTATTACCAAACAATGTCTGTCTACATTTGAAGCGCTATTTTGTAGACCTTAATTTTCTTTCTCCGAATTCTCTTCTGGTTAAGCCTATTTACTTAAAAAGGTTGTCATCTGTAAACACTGATACGAGTTATTAATTTAAAAAGTTCACATTCCAAGTCATCAGTAAAATGACCATTCGGTGTTTTAATGTACCCTACTTTTCCCTTACCTTCACTAGGTATATCTAAAAAAATAAAGAATTAACCTTAGAGTCTCTTCGTGTTTTATGTGGTATTTTGACAGGATCAGAAAACTCTCACTTAGCTCTCCGTAACAAGGATCGTCCAACAAACAGTGGTATCTCGCTAGTGGAGTATACGAAAGAGTTTTTCAAATTATCTTAACATTGAAAATTAGTACAACCCTTTAACACAGAAGAAGAATTTTATCTAGTTTCCAAGATAAAATTGATGTGGCGACTTTGCCACACTGTACAGCTAGTCAGGCTGGCCCATTGCCACACATTGATTCCCTCTGTTGAACCTGAACAACACATACACACGGGGCCGAGAGCGGCTGTATCATACCCCCGGCTGAGTGTGGCTCCCCCTTCTTCCCACTGGACGTTGCGGATATCTTTGCTGGACGTAGAGGTTGGGGCTCTCTGGAACATGGGGTCGATGTAGTCCAGCGAGGTCGTGGAGTTGCGGAGGTTGCCGTGTTTCCGTCGGATGGTGCCATACGCCTCCACTGTGGGATGATCACGTATGAGCACAAACAAAACCAAAACAATCCCAGGTACAGTATTAGTTTTATCCTTACCGGTAATTAAGACATGAGGAAAATTAGACCGTGTCCACAAAGCATTGAGTCGAGGTACAAGGCTGCTTTGGGCATATAACACCTTTAATTTAGGAGCATCTCTCTTCCTTGAGTGGCTACAAATGTCTTCAAATATTTGTATGTTGAGACATATTTACTAAGAGACAAGATGTTGCACGGAAACGGGATTGTTACAGACAGACAAGACAATCATTATATGCCACGATATGTTTGTGTTGCAGGGAATGCGGGGGCATAAAGAATATCTATAGATCGTGGGAAGTCGTTTATTTCCCCAAATGAGCAGCATAAGAGAGACATGGCATTTTTAACTCCGGCTGTCCGTCCATCCCTCCATCCAAAAGTCATTTAAATGCAACTTCCCAATCATTATACAGTATGTTACGTAATGAAATGTTATAGATATATATATATATATATATATATATATATATATATATATATATATATATATATATATATATATATATATATATATATATATATATATATAACGAAGAGGAGAACCAGGGAAATCACAAACATCTTGACTAAGTTGGGTTTCTTTAATCACTAACGTTTCGGAAAATCATTTTGTATTGTAGTGGACGTCTCCCCTACAACTGCCTACAACTGCGTAGCCACAGCCACCACCTGCTACCACATTCCGACGTGCCGTCTCCTAGCAACCAAGCGAGAGCTGACGCCAGATGGTACGGTTGCTTAGCAACGAAACTAGTCACCGGCAACTTTCTGGGTTTTCCCAACATGATTCATAGAGGACTGGCCGCTGCTGCTGGGTATATAAGCTCTGTCTCTCCATTGAGATTCATTCTGCCCATCTTCCTGAACAAGCAACACCTCCTCCAGCAAGCTCCACGCTGTTAACATTCATTCAACCAGGAGGCCAGCAACAGGCAACATCTTCTCTAACGAAGCTCCTGCACATCTACCTCCTTCAACACGCTACTCACCGAACGTCTTCTACTGAGCAGCTCCTCATCACACGGCACCTCCAGCACCAGACTGTCTATCATATAACTTATATTATATAAGAAAACCACATTAGAGTTTCCTTCCATCCTGAGTGCTAGACAACATTAATATCTCGATACCCCTACAGTATCATCAGAGCCTAGAAAAAACAAAGTTTTAAAAGGTTTAAAAATATAATACAGGTGATATACAAGAAAAACGTAACATTATACCAAAATTTACCTTCCCTCAAAAAAAATTTGAAAAAAAAGATCAGTATAATTTAAAACCGATATAAATGACGAGAGACCTACGTACAAAACTAAACCAGAAAAAAAGCTAAAATATAAAGGGGGTATTACCTTAATTTAGACGAGCATTAGTGTGAAAAACACAACAATTCACAGGAAGCCATATCACAAATGGATGGCTTTAATTTATACTGATGCAAGGCTTCCATAATGAGGAGTTACTTCTCACAGTTGCTCCTGCCATGAACTGAGAAATCAGACGGCGAAAACGGGAGGTCATGTTGGTGGGCGTGGTTACGGATAGCTGAATGTGGTGGTTGTGTGATTAACTGGCCTGTGCGGACGGAACGGCCCAAGTGCTCATGGATGCGAGTTATCAAATGTCTCTTGGTTTTACCTTTAGTATATGCTGCCCTACAGCAGGTATGTGGGTATAGTGTCTTTAATTTTAAAGATTTTTTTAATTGAACTCTGGGTTTTGAAGACTAGTCTAAGAGAAATTTATAGACAGAATTCAGTGAAAAGCTTCTTCAGTTTGTTTCTCAGGGTGAAACTGAGTGGGCCTGTGTACGGAATGGTGAAATGGATAGGATATTTAGGAACGGTGTGGATTTGAGGCTGTGTGGGACTAAAAATCCTATTAAGGGTTTTGCCTATATACTGTAAGTGTCCGTAAATCTCTGAGGGAAACCATTGTTAAAGAGTAGTTCCTTTATGTATTTTAGTTCAATGTCCAAATGGAAATAGCTTGAACATATATTAAAGGCTCTGTTGGTAAAAGTACGTACTAGATTTCTTTTGTAATTAAGAGGAATGAAAGATGAAAATTTTGAACTCAAACCAGTGAATGTTGGTTTTCTGTATAAGACTGTTTCGCATTTAAATAATTTAGGAACATAGGGACGTGATCAAGTGATCTGAAAATTTAAAAAGTGTCATCAACATACCGACGATAATACAAAGGCTTAAATTGAGCGGAACATTCGGTTAGCCAAAGCTTCTTGTGGTGACAGAGGAAAGCGTTGGCACCGTGGGACCTAAGGGTGGACCCATAGCAACACCGTCACATTGTTTATAAGCTTTGTTATTAAATAAAAAGAAACAATCATTTACAGCCAGTTTAAAAAATTACTGCTCTACAAGTCTTCAAAAAGGGATGAAAACTTCTCAGTTGCAATTTTGTCTTCATTTTAATATAAAAATAATATTGTTAGGTGTCATAAACAAGAGACTTCGTGGTTGTGAAGTGCAGTACCTGTAGAATGTTGGTGGTGGTGACGTACAGTATCTGTAGTGTTGGTGGTGGTGACGTACAGTACCTGTAGTGTTGGTGGTGGTGACGTAACAGTACCTGTAGTGTTGGTGGTGGTGACGTACAGTACCTGTAGTGTTGGTGGTGGTGACGTACCTGTAGTGTTGGTGGTGGTGACGTACAGTACCTGTAGTGTTGGTGGTGGTGACGTAC